TATACATTTATATACATTTTTAAATTATAATTATATAATATTTATTTAATATTTATATCGATTTTGTGTGACCCGTGCGAGCGCACAAATTCTTTACTAGTGTTAATGAAATTTGAAGTTTATTTATATCTTGAGCACGAAACTTAATTTATATAAATTTTAAAATTATAAAACTCTATTCATATTAATTAATATTATTAAAATATTCTCTTCAAAAATTATTATTATAAAAAAAATTAGTTTCAGGTTGAGTCACAAAGTTAGTGGAAAAGCAATTAATTCTTTTAATTTTATGTAAGTAAAATTTATTAAATTACAATATTACTCTTGATATTTAATAAATGAACTAACTTCAATAAATAGTTTTTAAATTAAATAAAAGATATATTAATAACACATTAAATAATTTAATACTCTCTTCGTCCCAAAATATAAGAGAAAAAATAAAATATAAAATATTTATTAAAAAAAGTAAAAACATAATTATTTGACTCGTGGTTTTCTTGAAATAAAGTGTTTAAGAAGATGTAAAAACAATTCTAATTGGTTGTTAATTATAGAAAAGATAAAAGAGAATGTAAGCAAAATGCAAGAAAACATTTAATTTTTATCTCGAAAAAGATAAGAGTGGTTTTTTCTTGCCTAAATATCACTCGGTAAAAATAATATTTTACTTTTTTCTTACCGCTTTACCGCATCAGTAACTACTTCTGATGCAAATGGAAATCAGGATTGTTTACCTTTCATGCATACCTCACATGCCTACCGAGGCTTCACAATCTTCAGAATGTCATGTACTAGCTTCTTAGAACTCAAATACCCTAAGCTTCTGAAATTCAGATGCCCCAATCTCTTACGCCACGATTCACTATCATCTTCACCGTCTTCTGTACTAAGGCATTTAGTCTCAGTTGTCTCCATATTCACCTTGAATGTTCGGTTGCTTCCCTGCTCATATTGTATAATCAACTTCTGATTGTAATCATACAACTTCAAGAGATTGTTCTTTATAGTAACTGAGAAATCTTTCTTAATGAACTAGTCTATACTCATCAAATTGCTCTTCATGCCAAAAATATACCAAACATCTTTGATCATAAGGATTCTTCCATTCTTTACTTTGGCTTTGACATTTCTCATACCTTCTGCATTAAGGTACTTATCATTAACACATATGATCTTTGCCCACCTTCTGGGGTCAAAATCAACCAGCCATTGTTTGTTTCCAGTCAAGTGATTTGAGCAGTCAGTGTCTATATACCATCAGTCTACCAAATACCTACCATCAGACTCAGAAGTCATTAATAGCACAAGTTTATCATCAGAATCTCTTTTGACTATATTTGCTTCTTCTGATTTCCTTCCATTGTTTGACCAACAATCTTTAGCAAAGTGGCTAAACTGCTTGTAGCAATAACATTGAACATTCCTCTTTTCAAACTTTTATCTTCCCTTCTAATTTTTCTTCTCATCAGAATTAAAGGCTTCTAACTTATGGGAACTACCACCATGTCTCTTCTTGACTTCTGACCAAGAATGTTTATGGTCCTTCTTGATAAAATAAGCTTTCAGAGCCTGTCCAACCTCTATTTCAGAGGTTCTCTCAGTCAGACGAAACTCTTGCACCTCTAGACTGCTTTGCAACTCTTCAATTCTCATGGTATTTAGAATTCAATTGCTACAACAATGTAATCAAATTAAGGAATAAAAGACCTCAATATCTTCTCAATGATTACTTGTTCAGAAAGAGTTTCTCTATACGATTTATCTCATTTGTAATCAGAATCACTCTAAAGATGTAATATGGTACATTCTCATTGTTTTTCATGTTGAGATTCTCATACTACTTACATAGGGATTGAAGCTCCACCTTCTTTACTGATGCATCACCATCGTAGCACCGTGTCAGTATATCTCACAAAGCCTTTGGCGGCGTCGAATCAGTGATTTTCTCAAACATAATCACATTAACACACTGATGGATGTAGAACAACGCCTTTTTTTCATTCTTCCTCATATCTCTTTGCACGGTTATATGTTCCTCTATCGCATCTGTTACAACCAGACATAACCTTCAGTGACAAGATCAAGCATATCTTGAGCACTAAAAAACACACACATTTGAATCATTCACCGATTCATTTCTTTTCATCAAACACCAGAAGCTTAATATTTAAACTATTTTCATCGCTCATCTTCATTTTATTCACTGAAACTCAAACTCATATCTCATCAAACACTTGTGTTTCTCAATCCTGTAAAATCAAGAAATACAATTCTGTTACGATTCCGATAATGAGTTCAACGTGAATTCAAATAACAAAATCAATCACACACGCTCACATTACACTTGTGTTTTCATGTGAATCAAACTGGAGCTCTAGATACCAATTGTTGGTACACAAAGGTTAAAGGTGAAAATGAACATAGAAGAAGAGAGAGAGAGAAAAATGGCTACAACAAACTTGGTAAGGAAGAAATTCTATATTACATTCCTTACTAAAATCCTAGTTACGAAATCGTTTATATAAACAAATAAATTGTCTCGTAGGCTCTAGTAAAAGTAAACTTAATAGTTAAGTTAACAAAAACAAAGTTGGACCCCAAAAACTAAACATACTTTTGGGACGCAACCTCATAAGCTTCTACTTCTAACTAACACAAATATTTCTGAATATGAATTACATTTAACACACATGTTAGCATTATCCTTTTTATAATAACGAGGAAACCAAGTACTCTCTCTGTCCCAAATTATAAGATGTTTTGGGCATTTCACACGAATTAAGAAACTTAATTATTACTTTATACGAAAGACAAATTATATATGACTTTATAGTAATGTCCTTCATAATTACACAAAAAAGAGAAATTAAAAGGGTGTGGAAAGGAAAGTTTCTCAGTTTTGGTGGAAGGATCACTCTGGTAAAATCGGTTCTTTCGAGTTTGGTGGCGGTATAAAAAGAAATTGAAAGGCTTCAGAATAATTTTCTTTGGGGTGAAAGTTTGGATAAAATAAAAATTAATTGGTTTCGTTGGGAGTTTCTTTGTACTTTGAATGATAAAAGAGGTCTTGGGTTTAAGAGTTTTAAAGAATTCAACGCGATGCTGCTCTTCAAATGGAAGTGGAAGATTCTTCAGGGATCAAATTCGCTTTGGTAGGATGTTTTGGCTGCTAGATATGGCAATGTGAAACATCAAGTTCTATTTGGTTTCTGTTATGTGCCTAGTAGGAAGATATCAGGTTGGTGGTCTGATATTTGGTTGTTCGAAACTAAATTTCAAGATTCTGTTTTTACGAAGAATATTAGATTCAAATTGGTAATGGTGAGGATACTCCTTTTTGGAGTGTTGTATGGATTGGGAATAGGTCATTAATGGAGCTTTTCCTGAGTCTGTTTGAGGCGAGTTGTTTGAAGGAGGCAGAGGTGAGTCGTATGGGGCTGTGGTCGGGTGATAGGTAGGATTGGGGATCTTTTGGGGTGGATGTTTTTGATGTAGCTGCGGTTCAGTCGGATTTGATGGAGCCTTAACGTATTTTATCAGTTATTGTTCCGAATATGAGCAGTGTAGATAAGGTCATTTGGCTTCCAAAATCGGAGCAGGGTTATACGAGAGTGGTTATGAATGTTTGTCCGATTTTCTTTGTGATTCGGGTTTAGAGGAAGGTAAGCTTTCAGCGATAGGAGTAGTTTGGAATTCAGTTGTGCCTTTTAGAGTCAAAGCTTTCGGGTGACGTTGTTTATGGAATAGACTTCCGACAAAGGATCTTTTGTATAGTAAGGGTATCATTCTCTCATACAATGATAGACATTGCATTTTTTGCTCCGAAGACGTAGAATCGTTGAATCATGTTTTTTTTGGATTGTTCTTTTACGAAGTTGGTTTGAAAAAATATTTTTATTTGGTTTAGGTTCAAACTGGTGTTAGGAGATAGTATATGAAATAGTCTGAAAGTTTGATATAATGAAGGTAGAAAGTTAGGTGTAAATAAAGGTAAAGAAAGTTTAGTTTGGTTGGCGGTGGTGCACGGTAATGATTTCTCAAGAATGATGTTATCTTCAACGGTGCTAAGGTTTGTCTTTCAGATCTGATTTGAGATATTAAAATCAAGGTTTGAAAATGGCACCGTATTAATGATATTTCTAATTCCAAATGCAACTTTTACGAGTTTTATAAAACTCCTTTACTTTATCTTGTTTAAATTTTTGTTGGCTAGAAATATTTCTTTTTAGTCCCGAGTTCTTTTGGTGGTCTTTTGTAAACAGATTCAAATATTCTTAATACTCTTTATTATTGAATATCTTGCTTAAAAAAAAGAGTTCAAAGAAGAAATAATAATAAATTTGAAACAATTTTTTTTCAAAGTGTTATATTTGGAAGAGAAAGAGTATAAGCTAACAAGTTAAATATAAAAACAATTTGACAATTTAATATATAATGAATTTTTTTTTTAATTTCAATTTTAAAAAAAAAAGTATTCATAATTTAAAAAAATGATAGTGTTTGAAATTAATTTGGTGGTTTATTTATGAGCTATATGTTATTTGAATACTAAAATTTAGACACCATATTTGACATGGTATGCCAATTATATACTAATGTCTTTTTCTCTCTCCTATTTTTTGATATGATAAAGTTGTAAAAATTTCAAAAATACAATATTATCCTAAAATTACAAAGACCTTTTTTAACACACAATTTTAAGCACACAAATCTCATTTCTCTTTATTTATATTTATAGCTATATAAAGTATTATATTATATATTATGAGGTTGGTATTTAATCATTTATCATCCTCCTCCTTCTGACAGCACAATATTTGACATTTCATTCATAAATTTTCTCTGTCTATTTTAGCTACCAAACATAGGATAATCTATTGATTTGAGAGAGAAATAAAGAGCAAAAGTACTTGTCTCTAATTAATATTCAACAAGTAAATTTTAGGGTTTTGATTAATTTCTTTAGTCAATTTTATTCTTGTATTGAAAGATTAATGTCTGTGTTTGCTCCACTTGCCATTTATAAAGTTGCCAAAGATGCAGCTGGAATTGCTGGTATTTTCTTTCTCTTAATTTCTTGATGATTTTTATCAATTTTTCTTTATTTATTATGGTTTCAATTTATGTATTTTCTTGGTTATTTGTAGGTAACATCTTTGCTTTTGGGCTATTTGTATCTCCCATGTAAGTTTTGAATAATTGAGCTCATTTTGAAGTTGTAGTTTTATGTTTATTTTTCATTATGTTGATTCTTGTTTTGAATTATGAATTTCAGACCTACATTTAGGAGAATTATCAGAAATGGGTCAACAGAAATGTTTTCAGGGTTACCATATATTTATTCCTTGATGAACTGCTTAATCTGTTTGTGGTATGGAACTCCTTTGATATCACATGATAATTTTTTGGTTACAACTGTTAATTCAATTGGAGCGGTTTTTCAATTTGTGTACATAGTCCTCTTCATGATGAGTGCTGGGAAAGAAAAGAAGGTTGGTTTCAGAAGCTTGTAATATGATAAATACGAAAAAATCGTTGATTGATTTCTAAGTTTTTGTGTTGTGTTTCGCGTTTTTTGTTAGGTGAAAATGCTTGTGTGGTTGATGGTTGTTCTTGGTGTATTTGCAATCATATTGATTGGAAGTTTGCAAATTGACGATGTTGAAATGCGCCGGCTCTTTGTTGGGGTTGTGAGTTGTGCATCTCTTATTTCGATGTTTGCTTCTCCGTTGTTTATAATTGTAAGTATGGTGTTTCCTACGTATATAGTTAATGTTGTGTTGTATCTATTAGCTTGAGCCTAGACGAAATCACTTACATTGCTACCTATAAGAATTTTGCAGAAATTGGTTATTCAGACAAAGAGTGTTGAATTCATGCCATTTTATCTCTCCCTTTCCACCTTCCTAATGAGCACGTCTTTTTTAACTTACGGATTACTCAGCGATGATATCTTCATTTATGTAAGTTCTTTTCGCTTAGTCTATTTTTCTTCTACTTATGATTGAAATACCCTTTTGCCTGAATTGTGCCTCTGCTTGATTTTGTAGCTGCCAAATGGGATAGGAACCATTTTGGGAGTGACTCAGTTGATATTATATTTCCACTATGAGAGTAAATCTAGGATAGACGCCGAAGAACCATTGATCGTGTCATATGCATGACCACTTCGGCTGCAAAGATGAAGGTACAAACTGATCACAATTTTTTATTAAGATTTCTTGTCTTTCACGGTCCCTGGCGTGTAGATTGTTGTCTGAAATTGGTTATGGTCATTCTATAAGAAAAGTTATTGAGAAAGACTTTGAGATTAACGATTTGAGTAGAAACATGGTAGTGGATAGAATATTTATGGTGAAAGTTGATTCATGTAGCCGACCCGATTTAGTGGGATAATGCTGGATTGTTGTTGTTGTCAGTGTCTTTGAAAAATAGATAGTCTAATCACAACCATAAATTTAGCCCTATCTCGCACCCGACAATCTGGCAATTCCAGTTTCGGGGTTAGCCGCTTCGCTCTGCTCCACTTCTTAATCTGAGATTAATAACATAGGTTAAAACTTTAATTTTTTCGTTCTATATTAGACTGATCAAATTTTTAAACGCTGCTGTTACCTTTAAGAATCTAAGTGACTTACCTTGTTTTTGCAACTTTATCAAATGAACTTTGCATATAAAATCTCAAGTAATCTATATGCTACTTTTAAAACCAACAAGAAAAAGAGAACTTCATCGAGTTTTTAAGACAGTTCGAAAAGTAACGTCTTGTTTTTCCCTCTACATAACAGAATCGAAGAAGTTAGGCATGAACTTTTGCTGCTGCCTGCTAGATATATGATCTGAAACCGGAGCTCGTAATGTCCCTATTTGGTTCAAATTATTGGTGCAATGTCTGTTGCATCCTTGAGAGTGACCAGAAGCTGCAATGAAGAATAACTCAGATATTCTGTATATACTGTATGCCTTTTTTTTTGGAAAGGTGAACTATGCATTAAAGTTCAAAATAGTAGTATTATAGAAAGAAATGTATTTTGCATCATTTCTGCATTTGTTGGTGGCCTCTCTCACATTGAGTGAGGCATTTTTTTGAAGTACATATGATGTAAGAAACAAATATATTCATATTATATTTAGAGGCATGTATTGTTTTATTAGTGTCTTGAATGAGCAAAAAGTGATTATTATCTCACAATTTCATTGACTTGTGATAAACATATAGATATCAAAAGATTCACTTTTGATAATAAAAAAAATGATTCCAACAATGGGAACATAAATAATTTTATAAAAGATATTAATGTCGACGATAAATCTAGAACAATGCATTTCCTAAACGGTTCTTGAAAACTGAAAATATATTTCCGATTCGTATATTTTTCGGTTTAATGTTGTTTAAAAACAAGAAATATATTTCTGAAGAGAATTGAAAATGTATTTTCGACTAGTGTGCTGACATAACCAGAAAGAGTTATGTTGGTAGTGAGTCTTTTTTGCGCATTGTTTCGCATTGAATACAAAGATGCATTTCTAAAATATTATTCAAATACAATAAAAAAAACAATAATTGAAATACATATACAACAGAAAAATGCTTATGGGTATGACGGACTCTAAGTCGGACTGTCACCCTCATCGCGTTCCTCCACTGCCTCTTGTACTGCAGAGCCCCCGAGCCTCCTCCATGATGGCATCCAGAACACCTCTAACATTAGAGCCATCAAGAAACAAAGCACCATCAATACCCGCCTGCGCAATCTCCATGATACAACGACACCTAAGCGACACATCAGTGGCATGATCGGCATGTGTCTGCTCCTCCTCTAGAATCTCCTGATAAGCTAGCCTCGGAGGGTTTTCTGGAGCATCTTGTACCAGGTATGGATGGGACACTCTGAAAAATCATATAATATAATCGCCCACGTAGCTCCAGTCATTTGGAGCAATGGTACTCTGGGCCTCATCTAGAACAAGATGATTCTCATAATCATTAAACAAAGCATCCATATCCCTGTGTTTCGCCAGGGGAGGAACATATAAAGCAGGATTCTGGGGAATGGTCTAGGTGTACTCGAATTGGATCATGACGCGCTTTGGCATATAAGTTGTCGTCTTGTGTAACCAGCAAGCCAACCATCTTGTAAACAATACAACATCATCAAATGGTATCCTGACACGGTGGTCATGGTATGAATGAAAGTGTATATCCTCAAACACCACCCGATCAATATACACCCGGAACGACTATGTCGTCTGGTTCCCTCAGAGGGGATCGTATGCAGTGGCACGCGACTTAGCTTCAGTATAATCAATATCTAGGACCAACCAGATATACAGGGGGAAGTGCGTTAGGATCCAGTCGTGAAATAACAATAATTATTAATTAGTAACAGAAGCAAAATAATTAACAAAACACCACATAGACCAAAAAAATTTACCGTCAGAAGTATGATGTTGTCGGTCATCTGCTTCGTCTTCCACTTACTTCCGTCAGACAACTTTGTATACAAGTACACCAAATAAGTAGTCCCCCAATTTCACTGGTGGATCTTCTCAAAATCATCAAAGTTCCTCAGGTACATCAGATATGTGTAAGTGACACTAGTGTCCACAAAAATATGTGTGCCAACCAAAAACAAAAGACATGCTCTCATAGCCCATCTCCAATGTAGGGTAACATGCTCGCTATCACCATCATCCTCTCGTGCACGCCTAATCTCATCCGTGAACACCCTCTTCAAATAATTACGGGTAAAGTCCAACTCAGTCACGGCGCTCTTAGGGGTCACTCCCAATTTCTCTACCAACATATTCAATGCCTCCTCTTTGTCAATTCTTTCATGGTCTAAGAATGTCCCTCTAATCGGGAGATGCAGCAGAGACGCGATGTCGTTCAGTGTGATCGTCATCTTACCATGTGGTAAATAGAATGACGACATCATATGGTGGCATCTCTCAACAAAAGCGTTAATCATACCATGATTAACGACGCTATAACCATACTCGGTCAAATGTTTCAGCCCTGTAAGCATCAACAACTCACCAAACCATGGCTCAACAAAGGGTAGTAGTTCACTGATCTTCTGCACATGATTAATGACCTTCAACGGATCCCATTCATGCATTCATGATTGACAAAATTCATTCAACAAAAATCCATAACAAAAATATAATAGAAGAAACGAGTCAAAATTCATACCTCTCTGTCCCATATATATCTAGCAACATGGTATGGGTACAGAAGAAACAGAGATAAATCAGACAGTCCTTCTTCAAAACCCTGAGGCACCGCAGGTGCCTGAGATGTCTGGGGTGTCTGCTCAAGTGCCTGGGATGATGGGTGTGGTTGGGTCTGAGGTGTCAGAAGTGTGACCCCCGGTGTCTATTGGGAACCGAATGTCTTTTCCACCTCAAATACCATTGGTGAGGAAGTACATCTATGGGATGACGGAGGCGGGGAGAGATGAACTAGAGAACCTCGCATGCTTTGGGAGGACGATGAATTCGAAGTAGAAACGAGAACACTGAAGGCAAAGGAAGTAGTATGTCCATATGACACAGTTTGTCCAGAGGCAGGAGGAGTCTGGGATGCCTAACTCCTTTCTCTCCGCACAGAAGTATGATGTGCAAGCCTTTCAGGCCTCAATCTAAATGGTGTCTCATCCGTTACTCTTGTAACTTGGATTCGTAGGCCACAATTGTGGTTGGGGTGCAACCAGAAATATATTTTCGGTTTACACCCAATTTTAATAACTAGTATGGTGCGCACTGAAAATATATTTCCGATTTTAAGGGGTACTTAAGAAATTTCGCGTGATGTGTTAGAAAATCATAGGTGGAAAAAAAATCCTCTAATATTATTCTAGAAAGTTAGTGTTGGGCTTATGTTTGAATTTTTCACTATGTAAAAATAAAAAAGTTATGTCCAAAGCATTTCGATTTAAAAAAAATCCAGTTAGCATAAAAAAATTCCAGTTATAAATTTTTTAAATTAAAATATTTCAAACACGATTAATTTCTAGATTTTTCAAAAAAAAATGAAAATTCAAATTAATAGTACTTTTCTTTAGAAGATGAGAGGGTCGAATTCTACGGAGAAAAAATTATATAACAATTAATTTAAGAGTAGAGATTCTAATACAATAAATTAATAAAAAAGAGAAAAATTTAAGTGAGAATTTGCTTTAAAAATATTATATCTGTTATTTTTTATAAGAGATAAGTCACTTTTTAGGTTAATTGAATAACCAATATATTTAGTTTCTTTATAGATTAGATACATTGATTATTCAATGAATCTAAAAAATGAGTTGTCTTTTATTAAAAAAATGGAGGTAGTATCAAATTAGGACTTAGATTACTCCTTATTGAAAAATACATCTACACAAGTATTCAAATCACAATAAATATGACAAACCCTCACTTTCTAACCCAGTTTGAGTAATAATTGAATTTGTTGTATCAATTACATTTCAATTATATAATCCTATCTAGAATTTTAAAAAAATTTGAACACCCCTTTTCAATTATATGAAGTTCAATAGCTTGAAATTTAAGTTCTTTTGCTGATCTTAATCCTTCTAGCCTCCAAATTTTGACAATATATGAACCCAAATCGCTTTCGAAGCCTCCAAGCCACTAATTCATACAACCTCTTAAAATACCATATGTTCCAACTATCAAGTCATTTTTACTAGCTCCATCCATGTTCAATCTCACCCAACTCGAAGGAGGAGCAGTCCACCTTACTTACTTAGCCTCTCGAGCCAACTCCATCTTACTATCATGCAACTCTATTGTAAAAAAGTGCTCATGAGCAATTTTAGTAACATGCTATTATAGAATTCTAGGTCTAAAAAATTCGGATTATGTTGTTCCTTATTCATCCACATCTAAAGTGCATGGGAAAAGGTTGTCCAAAATTTCGTCCATGACATATCTCAACTGATACCAAAATTCAAACACAAATTAGTATTCACACACTCCTTAATATTACTAGTAAAAAAGAGCTCCTTAAATCCAACTTAACCACATTAGTGCAAATAGCAAAAGATAAAGGACAATCCTGTAAGACATGTATAATGGATTCCACTTTTGTTCCATAATCACTACAAAAGACCATCCTAGTTGCATTTTATTTTTTCTCTTATTGGTCATTATTCTATCA